ATCAGGCTTAATATTATAATTTTATGTAAAAAACTAGGGGTGAGGTGATTTTGAAAAAAAAAGGGAATTGTAGTGCAGAAGGGAGGGTGGTCGATCCCGTCTACTTTACTGGTCAATTTCTATATGGTTGAAGCAATTTATTTTAAATATTGTTTTTATGCTTTCACTTCTTGTGCAATTCTTATTATAGTTTTTGTGCACTGTGAGGTTTTGTTAGCTTTTTTAATTTGACAATGCTTTGGCCATTTTCTGTTTGATTACTTTAACCCATTCTTTTCCTATGTTGATTCAGGCAAATTTATCACATTTCCTAAACCTTAACTAGGCCCATGAGTTTAGTGTTTCTTTAGGCCCTTATATTGGCAACTTTTTTTTTTCTTCCTGCGCCAATCTAAAATCTCTATATAAGTATCCGGTTTATAATTGAAAATCGCCCAAAGATGCTTCAGAGGAACTTAAGCAATTTTTGTTGATTCGTGAGGAGCGGTCAAGAACGAGGTAGTTTAGAAAAACACCTTTGTCATTTTTTAGCCGACGTTTCGACCTTTACTCGGGTCATCTTCAGCGCTTGGGTGAAATACAAAACATACGATCTGTTATATTTAAATGAGGTATAAGCCTATTTTTTCATAAATTGAGATATTTATTGGTTTGCATTTGTATTAATTTAAAAATATTAGCAAACATTAATCAATTCTAGTGACATTTTCATCACTACACTTTTTAAAGTTCATTATGGAATAATAATTATTAAAATTATTTAAAAATGTGTGGTGATTAGTGACCGTTAATCGGTAATTATTCAGAAATCGTGAGATGCGGTCTGTGTGATGTAGGTTTCAGAAAAACATTTTCTTTATCGTGGTGTGCTTTATTGAGATCATCTTCAGGGTCTGGGATTTACAAACATTGTTTACATTTAACAAATACATTTAGGATATGGAAAAGTGAATTTATACAATGCAAAATATATATATATATTTTTTTTTTATTCAATCAAAGTATTTCTACTCACTCAAAGTGTTTACACAGAAGACAAACACTTTGAGTGAGTAGAAATACATATTTGTATGAACATTAGCTTCACTGAAATGGATTTTTTAATTAATTTCACATATATTAAAAAGGCGATATGAGCAAATAATCGTAAAATGTAAATTAGTTCATTAAGATAACTAAAAATAAAAAAACTTATATTTTAAACTTATTTCTCCATTACAGTTAGCATAATGTATTCATGGTTAATATATAGTATATAAGGCAGTAAATTCAACATATCAAATTTCTTTGCAGGAATGATATTTCCAGTTTTTGTATAATATTTTCACATTTATTTCTTCGGATTTTCTTATTTTCTGATCGTTCTTTTCATAATGTGATCGAAAATTAGTAACTTCGTCTTCGTCAATCGTTGAATCAGTTAATTCTAAAATTCTAATCCTCTTCTTAGTTTGTAACAATCTTAAATTATTATTGCTCAGACTGCTTCCTTATCCGATTCATAAATTCGTCTTTTTTTTCTTATATTTCCATAGGTCTTATTTCTATAATAAAAACATCACTATCAGACGAAATGGACACAATATCGTCTCTTTTATACGTATGTGAACGTATATTATTTATCTTAAACTATGATTTTCTTGGTTAATAACAATTATATTTAAATAATACTCAAGCTGCAATCTATTAGTATAAGAGAGGCAAACCAAACAGTAGAACTGTCGAAAGAAAATTTAGAAAAATCAGTGAAATTACTTCTTGCCACTTCAGCAGAATAATAATACCGTTATTTTGTTCTTCTAAAATTGCCCCAAAATGCTTCAAAGGAACTTAAGCAATTTTTGTTGATTCGTGAGGAACGGTCAAGAATGAGGTAGTTTAGAAAAACACCTTTTTCATGTTTTTGCCGACGTTTCGACCCTTATTCCGGAAGTGTTCAGGGCCTGGGTGAATTACAAAACATATGTTGATTGGAAAAATTACAATACAGATGTAAATGTAAACTTTAAACCAAGTATTTCATACTCAGATTGCAATTTTGTTTAAGGTTAGCAGGAAATCCCCTGAGTTAAGAGCGATTTCTTAACAGAGTTATGCGGAGCGAGTTTTACGTTTTCCAGGAACGGTGCCTGAAGACTGGAGGGTGTCCTCGGAGACCAGGATTGGGACGCCCATGCCAGGGAACCGGCCGACGACCGCTTTATCAGATTGCACACTCTGAGACATCGCTATCCCACTGCTTCTAAAACGACTCAAAGAATATACCAGAGACCATCATCGGACTCGACATTGGACGTAAACTGAATGAAGGAATGTAATGTTTTCAGACGAGTCCTAGTTTTTCTTCCAATACCCAAAGGGATATCTTTGAGTTTATCCAATAGCTGAGGCTACAGCCAAGGCAACATTGCCGGAAGAGGGTCGCGTTTGGAAGTGGTTCGATTATGGTGTGGAGAGGGATTTCTTTGGAGGTAAAGACCGAGTTACATGTTTTTAATAGGCCGTCACATAATGCAGAAATCTACGTGACATTCGTGTTGAATATGTGGTGCCAAGTGATCCTGTTAATGGCTCTCGTTTATGAAAGACCACACATGTCGTTACCAGTGTTATGCAGTGCCTTCGTGATGTCAATATTCATAATCCAAGACGGCCAGCTTGTAGCCGTGATTTGAATGCTATTGAACGTTTTTGGGATGATCTCAGACGTTGGGTGAAAGGAAGAAATAACTCTCCTACAACCTTACCTGAGCTGAAAGCTACATTAGATGAGAATTTGGATGAAATTCCTCAAAACGTGGTTAAAAGCTTAATGATGAGTATGCCGAGAATATACTAAGATAATACGACCAAGAGGAGATAGCACACCTTATTAAAAAAAATAATTTCTTTTATATTTTTTATGTTCTTGTACAAAAGAGATTTTTGTTTGTTTTGTAATCGAGAAATTTTTATTTTCACACTAACCAAATATTTTAATAACTACCTGGATTGTAAAAAACATGAGTGTTAGTATTACTGAAAAGGCAGGTATACTAAAAATATTCAAAATTTTCAAGTTCGTCTTTTGATCATTTTCACAATTTTAATTTAAAAAGGGCGTGTGGTAAATCTCGTCCACTATACTAATCTCAACTTGTGGATGAAGGGAATGTCTTCAACCAGCATTCAAATTCATTTTCATTTCTCACCAGTGGATTTTATGTAAGTAATGCGTCGTTTTTCCTACGGTATGTCGAAAAATGCACCACCTTGGAGGGCGGGGGGGGATTTTTGTGTCCAAGGTGATGTACCATTTGGTTCCGTGGCAGCTTTAATAATTTTTTAAGGTAAATAATTGCGACAGAAGTGACAATGAGTGTTTTACTTTCTTTCAGATTCGCCTTATCTCTGATCGTTTTTCAAAGGTTTCATTGAAATTCAACCTTTGATGATGGAGTTCCACCAAAAAAGTACACCGAATCTCGGAAAATCCTTCCTTTTTTTCAATGGCTTCATTGATGTTCGTCTTTTTATAATGGAGTTCCACCAAAAAAGAACACCGAATCTCGAAAATCATTTTTCGGGCTACATTGATATTCAACCTTTGATGATGGAGGTCCACTAAAAGCGTACACAAATATTGACAAAATCCCGATATTTATTCAAAGGCCTCACTGATGTTCAACCTTTGATGATGGAGTTCCACCAAAAAAAGTACATGAATACTGAAAAATGATCATTTTTCAAAGGCTTCTTTCATGTTAAGTATTTGATGATGGAGTTTCACCAAAAAAGTACCCCGAATTTCGAAAAAATCTCTGATTTTTTTCAACGGCTTCATTGATATTCGTTCTTTTTTTTATGGAGTTCCACCTACTTTTTTGGTGGAATAAATATTGAAAAAATGCCTGATTTTTTTTCCAAAGGCTTCATTGATATTCAACCTTGATGATGGAGTTCCAACAAAAAAGTACACAGAATCTCGAAAAATCCCTGATTTTTTTCAAAGGCTTCATTGATATTCAACCTTTCATGATGGAGTTCCAACAAAAAAAGCACCACGAATCCCGAAAAAGCTCTGATTTTTTCATCGGCTTCATTTATATTCGTTCTTTTTTTATGGAGTTCCACCAAAAGAGTGGACGAATATTGAAAAATTCGTGATATTTTTCGGGCTTCCTTGATGATGGATGTTCACCAAAAACATACACAAATATTGAACAAATCCTGATATTTATTTAAAGGCCTCATTGATGTTCAACCTTTGATGATGGAGTTCCACCAAAAAAGTACACCGAATCTCGAAAAATCCCTTTTTTTTTTTTCAATGGCTTCATTGATGTTCGTTCTTTCCTAATGGAGTTGTACCAAAAAAGGACACCAAATCTCGAAAATCATTTTTCGGGCTACATTGATATTCAGCCTTTGATGATAGAGGTCCACCAAAAGCGTACACGAAAAAAACCATGATTTTTTTCAAATGCTTCATTGATGTTCAATATTTGATGATAGAGTCCACCAAAAATGTATAGTGATTCGCAACAAAATCCCAGCTTTTTTATAGAATTGTATTATTTTAACCTTTGAATGAGATGAAATATGAATGAAGATATGTTTCCTTGCATCTTGAATTTTAATTTTTTTTTAAATTTAAAAATTTGCTTCGTCTCTTGGAGGTGGATTTTACAGTTTTATCGCGACGAGGGGGGGGTTCTTGTAGGTAAACAATAAAAATAGTTTGACTGGTAGTTGGGCCCATAAGTCGGGAGGGCGATTTTTATAGAATTGCTGTTGAGAAAAGGTAAATGAAAAGGGCGAGAGGGGGGTTCCGTGCGTGGGGCGGCGAAGAGGGGCGGCGATGCCGTGGCGGGTGGCTNGGGGCGAAAATGGAAGTCGCCGCCGGTTCGGCCGCGGGCCGCGAGGGTCGCTCGGCTCGGATCCCGCCCAGCCTGCGCGTTCGCCTTTCGCGCAGGTCACGTGACCGACCCCGCTCCTCCCAGTCGGCGCTCTTTTGATTGACGTACACTAGTGAAGCATCGTTTCTCGTCCTCGGCGCATCGCAGGTCCTCGGAATTATTTCTTGATTGAAACGGTCGCGACATGGCTGTCATCCGTGTGTATGTGTCATCCGGTTATACGATAAAGTGATCCGACCATCTGCGGGACGAAATTTTTTTTTCTTTTTTTCGTTCTCACCTAAATCTCGGAGGTTATTTTTATTTATTTTATTTTATTTTTTTTTTAAATTTGAGCGTTTCGTTTTTAGCCGGTATCGTTGAAGAGGGAGGCGTGGTTTTTGTACAGTGAGAGGTATAAAGTGCCGTAGACGGATCTTTGTCGCGTGTCGAGTGACAAGTGTTCATCTGTTAAGTCGAGGTCCGCGGAAGTGCGGGGCCGGACGAAAATCGCAACCGTTTTTGGAATGGCACAGCCTAGGGTGAGTTTCCAACGGAGAGTGTCTTGTTCAAACAACGGAATGACAAGTGTTTTTCATGTGACGACCACGACCACCGAACATGACAGTACGTAAAATTGGGATGGTTTTCATAAGGTCACAGATCTGGTTTCGATCCTCCCGGTCCTCATACTGGGACCGTTCGCCGAAGGAGGTTGATGAGGATAAACCGCGGTCCCCCGGTCCGACACGACTTCCTTCAGAAGAAATCTCTTTTGAAGTTTGGGTTAGGATTTTTTTTTTACCACCCCATGGTGTTTGTCTTAATCAGTGGAACCATTGAAAATCTGTATTCACCTTATTTAGATTTCAGTTGTTATAATGTGTAATAATACTTCATTGTACACATTAAGTCAATAGTTTTCCAGCTCAAAATTTCTTGCCGAGAACAAAATGTGTACTATACATAAAGAGAACACATTTAGTTGTCACCTTGATGAGATGAGTTACCGTCTAATCCAATGAGGTGGTTTTTTTTAAATTTTACCGCGCCAGATTTTTTTAAATAAAACCCGGTTGTTTTACAATCGCGGTAAACCCGGTTCTCGGAAATACATGGATTGACTGTACATGATTCCATGTCTTACGACTCGTCTAGATCGTTTTTTTTTAGAAACCGTTATTTTGGAGCATTTCTGATTTGTCGGTTGTCTAAGACACTTCGGAACTGAACTAGATCCGTTTATAAAATTTCAATTTTCCAATTCTTATCGAATATGAAATTGACTTAGGAATTTGAATAGAAGATAAAAAATTTCTCTTTGTACGCCCTGTTCAGAACCGGACCGTAAATAATTGAAATTCTCTTCCGTCTTATTGGCCGGTTTTATTTTCGCCTTAAGAAAAAAAACCGACGCGAATCGAATTGTTTCGAATGGCGCGTCGTTACTTTATGTATTTTGCATAAATTTTTGAGAGAAATTTGTGGAACGGCCTGTTATTTTTTCTCCCAACGTGAAATTCCCGATAGGCGGCTTATTTTTGAAATGTTTGTAAATAGAATCGAAAAGGATTATACGTTTTTATAAATTTGAATCGCCCTTCAATTTCTCGGTTTTCTTGTCAGTTCAAACTATGTTAATGAAGATGAAGAAAATTTAAAACTTAATCGTTTTACCTTATTTTGCGGTCAAATATTTGCCTAGTTTTTACATAACAATAAGGAAGAAGCTATTAGGCTCTATAAACTTTTACGATTATGCACTTTTAGTCTATATATTTTTTGACCATAGGCGTTCCTTAAAGAAAAATAGTTTTATCACCCGTTATAATTATATAGAAAATATTTTGTCGCACATTTGTAAAAAGAAAAGTAGTTTTGTGTAGTGTTTATCGAAATGTAGTCGGTAATGGAGCCGGTTACCGGGCGTGAGTCGGCTCCGGATCGCCCTCCCGGCAACTAAATTACGGCAAATGTGCTCTTTTTACGGCTACTTTTCTCCCTCGTTCCTATTACGGCTCGGCAGATTCCCTCGGCCTACGGATTGACGAAAAATCTCGGCCGGTCTATAAAATAATAAAAGGGACCGATTTGAATTTGAGGAGGACGGGACCGGCAACCGGGCTGCCGCCGTAGCGCCGTACGGGGCCCGTTTTTCGTCGATTTAATTCGTTACAAAGCTGATTTTTTCCCAATAAAAAAAAAATCGTCCATAAATTTGTAGGGAATTGTTTAAAGTTTTGAATGTATCGAAAGCTTTTTTCATTTACTCAAGAATATCTAGATCCCGGTATGGTCGGATGAAAAAACAAAATCTGCCAAGCTTTCAACCTATTTTAAGGCCAATCATCAGGTCAAAATAGTCAAAATGATGTATACAAATTGATAGGATTAAGTTTTTAATAACAAATTAAAAATTTCTTTGAGCATAACTCAGCCCTAACATTGCCAGGGACTGTCATACGGTCAATTTGTAGACATCTTTATGGCTGTTTTGCCCTGATGATTGACCTTAAAATTGGTCGAAAGCTTGGCAGATAACTCGATTTTGTTTTTTCATCCAGACCATACCGAGATCCAAATTATTCTTAAGTAAAAAGTGGTCGGTACTAACACTTTATATTGGTTAGTGCTTTAAAAAAAATATATATAAAATATAGACTTTTTTAATGTTTTTTTTAATATATAAAATATAAACAACTTAGTTACACTTGTTCTACCGACGTCTCTTTTTTTGTAAAATTTTATGAATCGGGGATAATTTTAGTTCAGGTTGTTTATTTATGTTGTCGAGTTTCAATTTAAAAAACAAACTATTATTAAAATTTCAATTTATGGATACGGTCTATATTATGGATTTCGAAAAGATAAAATTCGATTGTTATCCGCCAAGCTTTCGGCCAATTTTAAGGTTAATCATCAGGGCAAAATAGTCAAAAAGATGTCTACAAATTGACAGAAATAAGTTTTTAATAAAAAATTCAAATTTCTTTGAACATAGGCTCACAACATTGCCAAGGACCGTCACACGACCAATTTGTATGCTCTTTACGGTTTATTTATGGTTGTTTTGCCCTGATGATTGATCTTAAAATTGGTCGAAAGTTTGGCAGATAATTCAATTTTGTTTTTTCATCTAGATCATATCGAGATTCAAATTATCTTGACTAAGAAAACCGGTCGATACATTTAACACTTTATGTTGGTTACTGCTTTTTAAAAAAAATAATAACTGTAGAATTTTTTACTTGTATGTTGATACAAAAAATACAAACTTTTAACTTAAATTTATAATTGTTCTCCCGATGTCTCGTTTTTGTAAAAAATTTACGATTCGGGGATAATTTTAGTATAGGTAGTTTATTTATGTTGCCGAGTCGGTAGTCTTAACTTTCAATTTAAAAAACAAAACAAAAATTGCTAAAATTTCAATTTATATATACGGTCTATATATGGATTTAGAAAAGACAAACTTCAATTGCTATTTGCCAAGCTTTCGACCAATTTTTATGTTAGTCATCAGGGCAAAACAATCTTAAATATAATTATTCAGAAATCGTGAGATGCGGTCTGGTGTGATGAAGGTTTCAGAAAAATATTTTCTTTATCGTGCCAACGTTTCGATCTTTATTGAGATCATCTTCAGGGCCTGGGATTTACAAACATTGTTTACATTTGACAAATACATTTAGGATGTGAAAAAGTGAATTTATACAATGCAAAATATATTTTTTATATTCACTCAAAGTATTTCTTATGTAGTATTAAAGTATTAAATATGTTTATATAATTGACATAATGAAGTTATTAAAACAGCTCTGTCCCAACATTGCCAAGGACTGGACTATGACAAAAAAAAAATATTTCAAACTTTTTATTAAATACTTAATTCCGTCAATACGTGGAAATCTTTAAGGTGGTTTTGCCCTGATGACTAACATAAAAACCATAAGATAGGTCGAAAGCTTGGCAGATGATTGAATTTGTTTTTTAAGACCATACCGAGATCCAGATTATTCTTTTGTATGGAACTGTCAATGGTGTTTGGATTTTCTTTGTCGCCGGTTTATTTTATTTTTTTTAAGAAAAAAAAATGTCTACCGTACATGCCCCGGGATAAGTTGAACTTGTGTTTTTTCTCATTTTGCTATTTGATTATGAAATTAAAAACATAGATAATGCCGTTGCAACGTTAATGCTTTTTTAAACTGACACATGGCCCAACATAAAAACGGCGGATACCTTTTAATATAGAGTAAAAGGAAATAAATTTTACAATTATATAGGTGTTTTTGTTTACCGCGCCTATTGTCTTGTAATGTTTTCCTGGTTTTCCACCGGCGGGGGATTTGATCCTGTTGGTTTTTGTAAAAGTTTAAACATTTGTAACAATAGATCTGGAAATTACCAGCAACTTCCGGTTTGATTGTTTGCACGTTTAATGTCAGATAGGCTTGATCGTTCGGATTTTTCCGCTGTCCGTTTCTGTATCGACGGTATTGCATTGATACCGGACAATAAATAATAATTAAAAAAAAAAAAAATACACGTCGGACTTTATGTGTTACCCAATCGCGTTATTAGCATAAATGTTTTTTTTTAAACTTTTCACTTCTGAGCTTAATCAGACAACTCTGCTGTATTTACTCAAAGACAAAAAACCCGCACAATTACAGTTATATTAATTACAACGTATTTATGTTAATGTAAACCATAATTAAGTGAGATCACATATTCACGAATTTTAATAAAATTAGTTTAATTATGATGGTTAGAAAAAATCTACCAAAAAACGGAATATAATTTAGTGATATTAAAATTTAACTAAAAATGCTTTTTAAAACCAGGTTTCGCTCGTTATAACGCATTAATAACAAAACTAGGCAAAACAGAAGTATGTCGAAATTAATATAACTACAAAATTCATATAATTAAAAAAAAAAAAATAGAACGTTGTTCGGTTTTTGTCTTTGAGTGTGTATAAAAAAAGTAATTTGAAAATACCTATTTTTACATTATTTCAAGAGCTTCAATTTTAATTTTTTTAACTATCGCCATTTTTTAAAAGTAAAATCTTGTTTTCTGTTTTTGTTTAATCTTTACTGTGGGATATGGACCACGTTATATTTCTTATATCGGTTTTTTTTTAAGGCTTTTTCCTCTTTGTTCCCGTTATGTTTATTCCGTACCAAAAATTGGGATTTTAATTGATGTTTTGATGTTCCGGTCAGGCTGGATACTTTTCCAGAATCTGTTCTGTTTTTTTTTTTCTTCAAACCAAGACAATTAGTTTTGCTATAAACCAACATTTTTTTTTAATAACTAGATTCGTAGTTATTAAGTTTCATTAAAATTCCAATTAGTTGGCGTTTAAAAATCATCAAACCATTTATTAAAACCTGATCGCGAATTAAGCAGAATCTGTCAGTTTTGTGACTAGATTCTAAAATTTTGGCTTTTTTATTTAAAATTTCAGTCGGAATCAAATAAGTGAAACCGTTCGCGATTTTTGAAATTTTGCCGGAAATCCGTTTTCGGAAAT